TTGAAATGGTTTTAGGAATCCTAATAATTTAGCACTGTGGCGCTCCAGGGGCCTGCGCGGGCTGAGCCGCCGCAGCCGGGCTCGCCGCCGCCGCCGTAGCCGGGCTCGCAGCGGCCGCCGCGCTCGCCCCCCCCTCTGCCGGCGCCCCAAAAGGGGTGGCAAGAGGGGGGTCGCCCTCTTAGAAAACGGGGTGCTTCTTAGAAGCCCTCGGCGGCTTCTTGGAAGCCCCCGAGGGCTTCCAAGAAACCCCCGCCTTCCAAGAGGGCGACCCCCCTCTTACCACCCCCTTCGGGGCGCCGCCGACCCCCGCCGCTGGGCTCGCCGCGGCCTGCGTGGGCCGAGCCGCCGCTGGCGGGCTCGCCGCCGCCGCCGGGCTCGCTGGTGCCGCCGCCGGGCTTGCCGCGGCCTGCGTGGGCGGAGCCGCCGCCGGCGAGCTCGCCGCCGCCGCCGGGCTGGCCGCCGCAGCCGCCGGGGCCGCCGCGGCAGCGGCCTGGGGCAACTGCCCCAGCGAGTGCAAGAGGCCCGCGCCGCCCGCGTGGACAAGAGCCTCGCGAAGCCATGCGTCTACCAGTAAGTCCCGGTGCTGCCGGTATTCATGCAAGTTCTCTTTCCAATTCCGCACGGCGGGGTCAAAGCCTATGTCCCCCTGAGCGAACTTCGGCTTTTTCTTTGAAGAATCAGCGCGCCAGAGCTTGGCGAATGTTCGCTGGCTATCTGCGCGGCGCAGGCCTACGACCTCCCATATTGCCATGTAAACTTCGGCCAACCCCGCGGCAGGGCCTTGCAACACCTCGGCGCCAGCAGGGTATTGCAATCGACGGGCGAGAGCACCTGTGCCGCGGAGTGCTTCCTCCAGCACACCCCTGGCGCGGCTGCGCTGGTGGGCCACCAACCATTCCGACATGCAACAACGCGGGACAATGGCAACCAGCAGTGCGGAAACCCACACCGATGCTGGCCAAACCTTCCCTGGGCCCAGAACCGTGTATAGGCCCTCCTGGCGCCTGGAGGCGAAAAAGTCAACGAATCGATACCGGATACAAATAAACTGTCATCGTTCCGTTCTGGGCCCCCCGGAAGGCTCCAGGAGGGCCCCCTGGCGCCCAGAGGCCAAAACGTCAACGAATCGATACCAGATACAAATAAACTCTCATCGTTCCGTTCTGGGCCCCCCGGAGGGCTCCAGGAGGGCCCCTTGTCGCGGGGAGGCGAAAAAGTCAACGAATCGATACCGGATACAGATAAACTCTCATCGTTCCGTTCTGGGCCCCCCGGAGGGCTCCAGGAGGGCCCCCTGGCGCCCAGAGGCCAAAAAGTCAACGAATCGATACCAAATACAAATAAACTCTCATCGTTCCGTTCCGGGGGCCCCTGGAGGGCTCCAGGAGGGCCCCCTGGCGCCTGGAGGCGAAAAAGTCAACGAATCGATACCGGATACAAATAAACTCTCATCGTTCCGTTCTGGCCCCCCCAGAGGGCTCCAGGAGCAGCCAACGAGGCGGCGCAAGTGGCGGAATGATGCGACCCATGCGTATACACCGATCGTGGGCTCGGGATCGGCCTGGCCAGCATCAGCGTCGGTGTATACCTGGCTTGCAAACTGGCCGGGCTTTCAGCTCGAAGCCGGATGCCTTGAGCCAAAATGGCTCTGGAAGGGGGGATGAGCAGAAGCAGGAACAGGAGCAGGAAGTAGCAGAAGCAGGAGGTAGGAAGAGTGGGTGGAGCAAGAACTCCAAGGTCCATCCCCAGCGATGGGGTCGAGAGCTCCAGGGTCCATTGATGGTGTCGAAAGCCCCTCGGAAGGGACAGGCCCAGCGATGGGGTCGAGAGCTCCAGGGTCGATCCCTCGAGATGGGATAAAGACATCCTCGGAGCGGAGGGTCCACCGCAGGCCACAGGAGATTGCAGGAGATCCCAGGAACCCCCAAGAGACCCCAGGAGGCTCCAACGACCCAGGAGAGCGCTTCCTTGAACCGTAAGGAAATCTCAGGAGGCCCAAAGAAGAGCTCCCAGAAGCCCCAGGGGTTCCCCAAGAAGTCCCAGGACTGAATGTCCCAGGGGGTCCCAGGATGCCCAACCAGGCCTCAGGCCTTCCGCTCCCAATCCCTCCCTCTCCCAATCCCTCCCTCTCCCAATCCCTCCGTATCCCCATCCCTCCCTCTCCCAACCCCTCCGCCTCCCAACCCCTCCGCCTCCCAACGAATCGATACCCGATACAAATAAAGTCTAATCGTCCCGTTCCGGGCCCCAGGAAGTCCCACCCAGGGCACCTGACACGCTTCGGAATCCAAAGCACCGCCTCGCGTATACTGTACAAAAACGAAGAGTAAGAGGAGGGGAGGAGGAGGAGGAGGAGGAGGAGGAGGAGGAGGAGGAGGAGGACGGACGAAAGGGTTGAAAGGGGGGAGAACGAGGAGGAGGAGGAGGCCATCAGAAATGCCGGACGAAGAGGAGGAGGGAGAGGAGGAGGAGGAGCCCCAGTGCTTGTATACACCACAGCGCTGGCAGCTACGAGCGCCGCGCTACGACCGACGCACCATTGCCTCTCAGAAACAGAACAAAACTGCGTCCCTGAAGGCACCACGCGGCACGCACGCAACCGCTTCCCTTCGCAAGTACCACAACGTCCCTGAGAGCACAACAATGTGCCTCTAAACACCACAGTAGCCTGAGAGCGCCACAGGACGCCCGCGGTCGCCACCGGACGACCGCCGTGACGTGAGAAGGGGTGGGGGGGGGGAGCCGGGCCCGATCACGCTCGTGATCGCCGGGAGGTTTTCCGAACGGGCTCCTGTCGGAAGACACACCGCAGGTCTTAACGCCTGCATGTCCCCAAGCCTCGGCGCACTGAGAAACGAGAGAAACGAAAAAGAATGAATATGCTCACTAGCAGCTGCAGGTTTGACGAGCAACAAGAAACCGGAAAGCACAATGCATTCTGCATTTCCACCCTGGGCAATCCATCCTGAGAGCCCTCAGTAGTCCCCAGGTGCTTCGAATGGTCGGGACATGAACGGGAGAGACGGTGCACGCAGGTCAATCCTCTCCTCTTAATGTCATCACCTTCGAGACACAGTCGCATGAAGGCCAGCTCGCCCTCACTCTGCGCGTCGCCCTTCGCGCCGAATATGTCGAGCAACTCCTGCGCGCGCGAGTCCCACGCCGATGCCACGTCCGACAATCGCTGAAGATCGGTACGATCGCATCTGTCAGCAACACATCCACCATCAGCTCCACGAAGCGCTGCGACCGCACCAGCGCCAGGAACATCGCGTCGAGGGTGCGCAGCGCCTCCCTGAGGGGATGGGCAGCGCCGCCCCGAAGATGAACACGGTCGCGTCGTAGGTGCTCAGCGTCGCCCGGATAATAATCAGCGCCGTCTGGAAGGTGATGAGCGCCACCCTGAGGAGCATCGCCGCCTCGAAAATGATCAGCGCCGCGTCGACGGTGATCGGCGCCGCCCCGGCGGTGATCAGCGCCGCCCCGATGATCGGAGCCGCCCCGACGGCGACCAGCGCCGCCCCGGCGGTGAGAAGCGCAAAACTGGCCAATGGCGCCGCACCGAAGGCGGTGGCCAGTGCCGCCTCGAAAATGATCAGCGCCGCCCGGATCATCAGCACCGCCCCGTTTCTCAGCGGAGCCCCGCCGATGATCAGCGCCGCCCCGAAGACGGTCGGCGCCGCGCCGAGGGTGATCGGCGCCGCCCCGAAGGCGATCAATGCCGCCCCGACGAACAGCGCCGCGTTGAAGAACAGCGCCGCCCCGAAGGCGATCAGCGTCGTCGCGTTGAGCAGCGCCGCCCTCGGGATGATCAGCGCCGCCTCGTTGGTCAGCGCTGTGCCGAAGGTGGCCAGCGCCGCCCCAAAATGAAGATCAGCGCCGTCTCGAAAATGATCAGGGCTGCCCCGATGATTAGCGTCGCGCCGAAGGTGATGATCAGCGCCGCGCCGAATATGATCAGCGACATCCCGAAGAGTGTTTACCGTAGCAGAGGCGATGATCAGCGCCGCCCCGACGGCGATCGGCGCCGTCTGACCGTCGAACCAATCCAGGGCGGGCGCCGCAACCAGCACCTCGAAGGAAAACGCCCTGTCGTACGCGGTGACAGCGGGGTCGCGCGCGCGCGAGCGCCAGCTCCGCGGATGCGCGAGAGCGCCAACATCGAGCCCATCGGCGTCAGGCATCATCACACACGGAGGCACGAGAGGGCCGACAGCGCGCGGTAAGAAGCCCGAGATGCGACAGACCCAGGCAGATTCGCCCCCGCTCGGAAGACCGCGAAGCGCTCGAGCCCGAGCACCTATGCACATATATAATAATAATACTAATAGTAATAATAATAAGAATAATAATAATAATCATAATCATAATAATAATAATAATATATACATACATACATATATACATATACATATATATATATATACACATACATACATGCACATCCATACATACATACACACTGCTTGCGCGAGACAAGAGGGGCAAAGGCAAGCGCGACGACAAACAGCGCCGCCTTGCCCGACTGGGACCATTGCGGCGCCCTCCTGAAGGGTCTCGAAGAAAACGCACCAAACACCACTAACGAACGAACGAATCAAGCAGCCGTCGCCAAGAATGGCAAGCGCTCCTGCCAGGGAGGCACGCGCGCCCGCAGCACGCAGGCCCTCTGGGAGGACAGGAAACTAGGAACAGGCCCCTGAAACACAAGAGGGATCACAAGCTGAAACTTCACTGTTTGAGGTCACTCGTTTTCAGGGCCCCACCCCTCAAGGCCCCATCTTCGAACCGCCCCAACATTCTTCCAAACAAGAAACACAAATTTGAACCGGCAATGCCTGCCCAATGCCGGCCACCTGCCCACCTGCCCGCGGCAGCCCCGGGCTTCCGACGCCATCGCGTTTCCACGCCCCCAAAAAGCCTGGAACGAATCCCTGGGGCGGGTTCGCCATCCTGCCCGGGTCGTTTCCTGACGGCCACGAGGCCGGACGATTGCCAAACCCCGCATGCTGACTCATTGATATGATGGCGCGGGGATGTCCGGCATGTCCACATCCTCACCTGCCCGCGCGCAAGGCAAGGAGGACTGGCCCATGGGGGCCAGGGGGGGGCGTAGAACAGGGGGGGGCATCGACTTGGAGTCGACGATACATCGCCGAAAAGATCGGCGAAGCCCCTGCCACTACTGAGCGGGCGATTGGGCGTCGACGCGCCCCTCCTGGACCCGCAGTAGGAGCCCGACCACAAGAAGCTCAACCCGTAGATCCCATGACGCCCATCGATCTGCGGCGCGGGAACGCTGCGAAACTCAAGGACGCCAGGGCACCCTCGAGGCAAGCAGGGAGTTTCTCGGAATGGCCCCCCACTGCATCCCACCCCCTGATTTGAGCAAGGCAGGGTGGTCAGGTCTGCAGAACATCCCAAACGGACGTCAAGGGGCGCAGCCAGCTTGTTCCCCCCCCCCCCCCGCGAAAGGCCTTCTGCAAACAGCGCTGGCCTGAGTGCACCCACTGGGCGGCGCCAGCGCCCTCTCAGCCTCCCGAAGGGCACCCTGGCGCTTGCCACTCGCGCTCGCCCACGTGGGCACGAGGCAGCACGCGCAGAGCGCAACGCCGCCGCGCTGCTGCGTCAGCGCGCGGCGCGCAGCTGGACGCCAATAGGCGCCGCGCAACTACATGCAAATCGCTGCCGGATTCGCTGGTCCAGCCGAAACAAGACGGAGAAACGGGCGGGCCCGGGGCAACCCCGGCACCGCCGACAGAGCAAGGCAAGAGGTAGTCGATTCCGCCCCCTCACACACACGGGCAGGGGAACGCCGCTCCACGTCGGCGGCCCCGGGGCTATCAGCCTCTGGAGCTGGAGGCCGGCACTTGTGAGCAGCAGGGATCAGCATTGAACCCGCGGAAGCGATGCCCTCAGCCTCTGGAGCAGAGGACGCCCTTGCCCTCGCCGACGGTGTACGAGTCGCACTCTTCGTAGGCGTCGCAAGTCTCACTCTTGCCCACGCCCTTGATTTTCGACACGGCTCGGTTAATCTTGGTCTCTGTCGGCGGCCGCGCCTTCGCGAGGCGCTCCACCTTGACGGACCAGTCGCTCTCGGTAGACTCGTGCACGCAGGAAGAGTCCGCCATGCACGCAGAGACCATCACCTTCTTCGCCTCGTCGACCCGCACATCCTTCATGAACTTCGAAGGTGGCTCGACCTCCGCCTTCTGGCCATTTTTCGTCAGCCCCCCCACCTGCTCGGACTTGGAGCCGTTCTTGGTGGCCTCCTTGCGGAACCGAGTGTTCTCCAGGATCTCAACGGCCTTGTCAACGAAGTCGAACTGGCGCATCTCGATCTTGTTATCGAAGCGGCCGTTGATGCCGACGATGGCGGCGTCCTGCGCGCTACGGGCGCGACACCGCCGCCCCCATCTGCTGCCGCTTGGCCTCCTTCCCGCACTGGGTCAGCGCCTCAGCACCCCGCCCGAAAAAGCAGCTCCGCGACTTCCGGAGCGGCGTCGCCCCGCCGTCGATTTCGATCGGCCCGTCGCGGACCGCCGCCTCGACCTTCGCTCGCAGGACGGGCTTGATGAGCTCGACCCGCGCCTAGATTTCGCGATCCAACGCCTTGTCCTCGTCCTGCAGGTTGCCGCCGCCAGCCTGGGCCGCTCGCCAGACGGCCACCACTGTGGCCGCCACTACCTGGCGAGAGCCGCCAACGCGCACAACAGAACCGAGGAGAGCCTCCGCCATCGCGTCGGCCATGACCGCAGCCAGCTCGAACCAGGGGCTGGGCGAGCAGGCTGCTTGAGCCAAGATGGTTTGAGTCAAACTGGCTACGGACGGGGCGCAACCTGGTCGGTTAAGCTGACACTGATGCACCACACCCGGCGTCAAGCCCAAACTTTGGGCATAACCGAAGGGTTGGATGTTGCACATTTCCGTCGGCTTAAACCAGCGAGGCGTTTGACGACCTTGGCGCCCATTTGTGGTGGTCATGCAGAGGAAGGCGGTCTCTGACCCTCGGCCCTACTCCACCCCCTGACGCTGCCCTTGACAGTGCCACCTGCCCACCTGCACACCTGCACCGTGCCGCGCACACCTCGACAGTGTCACAGTCTCCACAACAAGGACCGTGCCCACCTGCACAGTGCCAGCCGTGCTGCTCCCCGGCGGTCCTTGCAGGCGCCCGCGTGCCTCCTGCGGGCCTTCGGGCCCCTGGCGGTCTTCCGCCTGCCGTCGCCGGCCGCGGCCCTCACCTGCCCCGCGGCGGGGGCGGGGCACCACTGCGAGGAGGGAAGGAGGGATCGAGGAGGGCGCGATGACCGATCAGAGCTCAATGCGAGGGGGATGCTCTCCTTCTGGAAGCTCTGCGCAGGGGGGCCGATGCGGCAGCTGGGAGCACCGCGTGGGCTGCAAGATCGCCCGACCGAGCAGAGCGGGTGCAGAGGGGGAGGGCGAAGGAGGGAGAAAATGTGGGCAGGGGTGGTAAAGAGGAACGGGGCAGGAAGGCAGGGCGGGGATGTGGTCGGGGAGGGGTCGGTGACGGGGGCACGGACCAGACGGGGAGGAGAGGGCTGACGGGCGGACGAGGAGAGAGAGGCCGGCGAGAGATACGGGGGGGGGCGCTGTCTCCACTGGGTGGCACGCACGAGTCGCGGGGGGGGGGGGAAATCAGAGGCAGCCGCGTGGAATGGGGATCCCGCTGTCGATGTACCGCGGGAGCCGCGGGCAAAGCCATCCTCATCCTCCTCCTTCCTCCGTCATCCTCCTCCTCATCCTCCCCCTCCTCCTCCTCCTCATCCTCCTCCTCCTCCTCCTCCTCCTCCTATTAATCATACTCAGACTTCATACTCATACTCATACTCATACTCATACTCATACTCATACTCATACTCATACTCATACTCATACTCATACTCATACTCATACTCCTCCTCTTACTCATACTCCTCCTCCTCGTCCTCCTCATCGGTCTCCTCCTCCTCCTCATCCTCTAGGCCCTCCATTTTTCTATCGTGCCATTGGGTTTCCTCCTCCACCGGCACCTGCTCCTGGAACCCCCTGAACAACGACAACCCGTACATCCCCCTCCGCATCGTCGTCG